ATACACAGTTGAAGGTGTTTATTCCTCTTGATTTTAATCTGTACAAATTTCAGTACATATCTAAAGACCACTTTCTTTAACCATTATACATGCATGCTTTTCCAATAGACTATTCAGTTAGCCAAATCAACTACCACCATGATACCACATAGAAGGCAATATTTGCGACTTCTCTATCATTAACTGATACAGTGGGTAATTATCTACCCTAAACTGTCTATAGATCACATTTGACTGGTTTAATTCCCCAAGTAGATCTCTTCATCTGTTTTTTAGTCAAGCCTCGGTCATCAGTTCAAGTTCAAGTTCAATTTATTGTCATTTACAAAGTGAATGAAATTTGTTTTCCAAGGTTCACAATAAAAACAATGACATACTAAAATACAATACAAAGATACGATATAAAATAAGTTAACCTATACGTAAAATGATATAAAACATTATAAATATAAAAACCGATAAACATTGCGAACAATTGCACTGTAGTCGAGTAAAAATATATAAAAGTGCAGTACACTTACATACTAGGATAAAATTCAAAATATCTCCAGTTATCTTTTAAATTGCTTATTGTATTGCCTGATTGCACACGAAAGAAATGATTTGTTGTGACACTCAGTCTTCTTAATTGATGAAATAATTCTACCAGATTTACTGAAATTGATATGATTAAACAGAGGATGGGACTTGTCATTAATTATACATTTTAGTTTTTTCTCTATAGCCTTATCATATGAGGCATGTTGTGGCAAAATGGCTAAGTTGTAGCAAAAATTGAAATTCAAGTTATTGGTATTCTCAGATACCTGAGTATGTGATCTTTAAAATGAGAGGTCATTCATTCAAATTGAACATTTCAAGCCAAAGTTATTAGAAAGTGAAAGTACAGTACTATTAGAGTCAAGATAAACATGATTTTGAGTAATTGCCTTTCAAAGTTATTTGTGCATACACTGTTTAATAGAACGAACTATGAAAAATAACACTAAATAAACAATTTGTTAAACCGCTTTTAGAACTAATACTTTGGGATATGATTAATGAGACATTAAACTGTTGATCTAAAGTGAAAAACAAATTTGGGTTTTTTAGCAATTTTTTGAGCTCCCATATTTTATAGCTCAACTTAACCATTTTGCCACAACATGCCTCATATATGTCATAGATAGACGGAATGTCTGCGCCTATTACTTTAGCCATAGTAAATAATCCTCTGTAATTTATTTGCATTATTTTTAAATAAACTATTTAGCCATACAATACAACAAAAGGTTAATATGGACTGTATCATAGCCTGATGAAATAGGAACAATGTATCCTTGCCAATCTTAAAATTCCTTAATTTTCTTAAAAAGTACATTCGTTGGTTTGCCTTTGCATAAAGTTTCATGGTGTTAGCATTCCATGTTAGTTTTTTGTCTATCCAAACACCTAAGTATTTATGTTCACTAGTGGTGCAGACATCATTATCTTTGATACTTAAAGGTGACAGTTGCGTTTTGATTTTTCGAAAGTCGAATACAATTTCCTTAGTTTTTTTCACATTGACACTTAGGCAAATCCTATCACACCAATTAATTAAATTATCAACTTCAGCCCTATAAGTACTCTCTTCATTGTTTGCAATTAAGCCTGTGATGCAGGTGTCATCAGAAAATTTAACAATTTGACAAGATTCACTTTAAATAAGAGCACTTGTATATAATGTGAATAAAAATGGAGACAACACACAACCTTGTGGGGCACCAGTGCTTGAGACAATGGTATCCGATAAAATGTTACTGTATCAATTCTAATACACTGGGATCTGTTATTCAAGAAATCCCTGGTCCATAAACATACAAAAGGGTTTACTGTCATATTTATTTGCTTCTCAAGAAGTATTTTTGTTTTCATTGAATTAAAAGTCGAAGAAATTCTATGAATAGAGTCCTAGCGTACTGCCTTGGTTTATCCAAAGTTTCACAGATTGGACGCAAGTGGGTGGTTATTGCATCCTCAACGCCCCTATTACTACAGTACGCAAATTGATTATTGTCCACAAACATCAAGGTTTCCTTAACCAATACATCTTTAAATAACTTATCAAAGCACTTTGTAATAATTTGGGCAACAGGGCAATAATCATTTTCATTTAATACTTTCGGCTTAGAGACTTGGTTTATGGGCACTATTATTGAATGCTTCCACATACATGGAACACAGAAAAATAAATAAATAAATAATCTGCAAAAAAATGGGTGCAAGTTGTTTGGAACATGACTTTAGAACATTGCCAGTAAGCTTATCTGACCCTGCTGCCTTCTTGGACTTATATATATTATGTATAATATATTATATATAATATGTTTAATATCAACATCATCAATTTGGTCATCACTATCAAATTTGTCGAAAAATATATTTAGTTTACTGTATTAGCAAAGTCCAATGGTCGGGATCCTGATGGAGCTACCCGATGGGTTATTCCTTTTCAGGTTTCCAATTACTTTCTTCAATCCATTCCAGGCTTGCTTGGGGTTGCCACTATCAAATCATTCTTAACTTTCTCACCAAATTTGCATTTAGCATCACTAATTTGTTGTTTTATTAGCTTCTGGATACACTTCTCTTCCGTGACATCATTATTACGAATTGCTTGTTGTTTTTGCTGTAAAAGTTCTCTAATCTCCTTAGTGACCCACAGTTTGCTATTAGGATCAATTTTGATTTCCTTCTCTTTAATGATTCTAGACTCACAAAAGTTAATGTATTCTACAATAGTTTCCATCGTAACATCGATAGAATCAGAGTCGACAAACACATCCCAGTTCGTGGCTTCAAGGCATCCTTTGAGTTCTTCTATACCATCATTTGTCCACACTTTTATTTTCTTCACCATTGGTTTACTTTGTTTTAACTTTTGCTTGTAAGCAGGTATATTAAATGGATCATCTTGTAATCTGATTTACCAAGACCTGCTTTAGGCGAAGATTTGTAAGCTTTCTTGTTAAAGCAATCAATTATCTTGTCACCACGAGTTGGAAAGTCAACATACTGATAGTAATTCGACATACTGTATTATTCAGATCACACAAGTCGCCAGTTTAGTATCCCAAAATTAACCAAAATTTGGGCCAATCTGTGGAAAAATTAGAAAGAAGCAGATTTCAACTGATTTGTGGGAGACATACCAGGATACACCAAAAAAAAGTTAGGTGGGCTAGGGGGTGGGGACATTTTTTTTTTTTTGGGGGGTCAAAGGTGATTGACCCTGTTCTAAAATACTAAAAAATGTATCTCTGGAACGTTCTATGGTATATGGTTGATCTTGGTGTCAAAATGCACAGAATTATACAACAAATAAAAAAAATAATATTGAAAGCCTTCATAATCAATTCATGACTTTGAAAAAATAGGTCAAAGGTCAAAATGTCAATTGTATTTTTAGTCACTTAATTGGCATATATCATTTTAAAATATTACAATGAATGTGATTTCAACTGACTTGTGTAGGAATACATACTAGGATAACACCAAAACAAAGTTTGGAGTATAGGAGAGTGGGGAAATTACGTTTTTGGGGTTAAAGGTCATTGACCCAAACTAAGACACTAAAATATGTATCTTGGAGCCACACTATGATATATGGTTGATTTTGTTGTCAAAATGCACAGAATAATGCAAAAACTAATGCATCGCCTTAAAAAAATGAGGTCAAAGGTCAAAATGTTAAGAATTGATAAATTACAAAAATGGCATACAGTATATGATTTTTTTTTTACTCATCATTTTCAAAGCTGGTTTTAAACAGTTGAACATATAGTATGAGTATATTAATTAAATTTAAAAATAGACAAAAGAGATCATAGATTATTTAAAGGGCCAAATTATTTTTAAATTTGATGTCACAGGCCAAAGAAAATCTCTGAGTTTCAAGCAGCTTGTTGTACTTTATGGACCTAAGGTAAAATTCTGAGGTGCTGTGGCTGATGCTCCCCGTTGGCTGCACAGACCTTTGAGGTTTTTTGCAATTTCCAATTCTATTCTATTTTTAGTTACACTGTACAACAGCACAATATTAGGACACTAAATTCATTACAATTTTTACACCATAAGATTGATACAATATTTTGCCAAAATAATTAAGACACTTTCATTTTCCACCATTATTTTTGCTTATTGATGATCTTTAATTTTCTTGCTTGTGTAAAACCATCACAAAAAAAATTGGCCAAAGGCAGGGGAGGAGCGATGTCCCAGAACCTCTAAAGGGGGTCCAGGGGACAAATCCCCGGAATCTCTAACAATTTAGTGATTTTGAATGCTGAAGGCCATAATCAATCTTACAGCCTCTTATTCTATAAAAGTTACATATGTGAAGTTCATTAAGTTGTTTACAGGCCCATATGTAGGCTAAGGCTGTTTCGGCATCCCGGCTGGTTCCAGAGGCCGAAAAGCTCAGACAAATTAGCATTTTGTATTTAACGGATTTCTGAAACCCATAATTCGTGGATATTCTATTTAAATTTCCATTCGTTTTGGTGTTGTTAGACCCTGGTTCCAAACTATCGTTTGCGACCCAAGTTAGAGTCGCCAAAATATTTTGCACGGTCTGCTGCGTATAATGTTGTCGGAGACTGGTAATAGAATCTGCCATGTCTTCCACTATTTGTGCAAGTGTAACTGTTTGCGAAATTGTTAATTTTTTCCACAAAGTAAAACTAGGTATTTTTTTTCCGTATTGACCTTGATTCTTGTGTTTGCTTCTCGTCGTTTAAGCCTAACCAAATATAGTTGCCTGCTTGGACGTCCATACAGCAACTCCTGGGTAGGACTAATTGTGTAGGAGTATTTTCAAACCAAACATGAAGTTGCAGGCATAATCGTAAAAAAACACAGTAAATTTTTTTAATCAATCATACAAAGTTTGTTCAACTTTAGTAGTTTGGTGCACAATAGGTATTTTCTGTGTAATTTCACCCATCCTATATCCACCAAATACCAGGGATTTAAAGCCTAAAAACTCATTGCCAGTAAAATCTCGGGTCTACTCATACTAAAAACAAGTCTATGATAAAGTTTTTATTTTTAATGTATGTCATATTTAGCTGTACTAAGGCTATCAATATTTTGACGTTTCTCGATTGGTTGGTAACATATTTAATTCTATTTCTGAGTGGAGTCACCCCTACTTCACATTGGCCCAGTGTTGTGTTTTGACCTTCACTTTATTAAAAAAAATATTCATCAAAAGGTTATTACTTTTAGTTTCTTTAAATATTTACAAGATACAAGATTCTTTTATTGTCACTGGTACATAAAATACAAGTAAAATTCGTCTTCCCGATGCAAAAAAAAAAATTAGTATAAAAGTTAGACATATAATAATATATATTTACTTTAATTTTTACTTGTGGGCCACAATAAGTTATTAAGAACCAGGGCAATATACTGTAATGTAATGTGCTACAAAGCAATCCTGGCAAAGTTTCACTAAAAAATTTTCAGAAAAAATGTTCAAAGAACATATACAGTACACACATGAGGGGGGGGGGGCACCATTCAATCGAGTATGTGGATTTCACTATAACTTGACATGGGCGTACAATCCAGCAACTTTGATATTATATGTCACGGACAACGACCTTTAGTCTGTAGCCACAGAACGCCATTCAGCCTGATGATGTGTCCTGGAATGAACAATACATGTCAAAATGTAAGTAAGTCTAGTAGAAACTATTTAATTTTTAAATACAATAGTTTACCAGTAATAACCTTCCTTTGATTCTCTCACTACTGTATATTGGCTGTATATTATTCACTATGCACAATTTCTGAATTGTAGGAAAGAAGATTTAGAGAGGATAACACTGTAGCTTTACAAATCAAACAAGGCTCTGAAAATTGATTAAGTATCATGATATTGTGGTACTGTAGGGACATTGACTGATAGTTTACATTGGGATTAATGCATTCTAATGTTTGTTAGGACATTTATCAATCGAAAGATGTAATTGTTGGAAAAGGTTATCCAAGTTTACAATTCAAAATGTGATGTTTGTTTGTTCATAAATCACATATACTGACAATTTGACCTTATAACTTTGAGGAGGGTTAGCGCCGCGTTTATTCAATGGAGATGCTTATTCATGAGCGTCTGTTACGTGACAATTTCTTTAAGTGTTGAAATGCTATCATGTGTTGTGCATAGGTATATGTGACTTAGTAATCGGATGTTTAATAGGTTTTCAATGATGCAAAACACAAAATATGTTATGTACTTTTCACGATTGGTGCAACCTTTCCAGGGATGGTGCCAGGTTTTGCCCGACAGAGGGGGGGGTGGAGGGGGGGGGGGGGGGGGGGGGGGGGGGGGGCAGATGCCTCCAATGAGGAGTCAGATTTTCCCACGAAAGCAAAGTGGGCATGGTCGAGCTCGATTAAAAGGTTTTGAAAGTGGTGCAGGGGGTGAAGCCCTTGAAAATTTAGGGGTTTCAAAGGCTTATTTAATCGATTGTAGAATCTACTAATATGTAGAAAATACTTTTTTTTCTCCTCGACGAATTGTGCTTTTCCTCCCTGACGAATTGTGCTTTTCCTCCCCGACGGGGGCCAGCTCTCCTCGGGGGAGGTGGGAGCCTGAACCTTCCTTACTAGAACAGTTAAATATAAACTAGAACCTCATAAGTAGTTCTTGGCTGTCACGCCCACTTACACTTTCGTTGGTGATATCGAACCCCCCGACGAATTGTGCTTTTTCTCCCCGACGGAGGGCCAGCTCTCCTCGAGGGGGGGGGGAGCCTGAACCTTCCTTACTAGAATAGTTAAATTTAAACAGACCCCTTATAAAAAGTTCTTGGTGCTCACGCACACTTTCGTTGGAGACATTGAACCCCATAAGTATTTCAGACCCATTCGAGGAGAACAGAAAAATTATATTATTACTATTGTGATTAGTGTTATCAATATTATTTGTTTTTTTTTTTCATACAATAAATATTGTTGCTATAGAAACCAGGCAGAAAGATGTAAAATAACATATAAATATGAATTAAATTTGTTGGGGTGAGAAAGTAATGTTTAGGAAAGCAAGATAAGGCCTATTTTTTATTTTTCCTTCCTTTCCTCTTTACAGTTATTTGAAAGAACGTGCAGTCAGTATGATAAACTCCGGAAACGAGAAGCTTTCCTGGAACAATTCCGTAAAGAAGCAATGTTTAAGGATAACCTGGATGAGTTAGATAATTCACGCGAGGTTGTGCAACAAATGATTGACGAGTACCATGCCGCAACTAAACCAGACTATATTTCATGGGGAACTCATCAGGTTTGTTATTATTATTATTGTTGTTGTTGTTGTTGTTGTTGTTGTTGTTGTTGTTGTTGTTGTTAATAATGTTTTTAAGTTATATTGATATAATATTGACATTTAATTCAACAATGTTTTGTGAATTTGGTCCACATTTAATGCTAAAAAAGGATGCTTCTATTTCAAAGTTGTATCACAAGTTCATTCTCCACTAGCATTATACCCATTATAGTGCAATTTTTATCTTGCAAATTTTGTATTTTTATCTTTTTGAATTTAAATTTAGTAGTTTTTTTTCTTTTGATCAGTGGTCTGTAGTTGAAGAATACTGTTGTAATATGTTAATATTTTTATAAACCTTGAAAAACAAATTTAGTATATATATCTTGGAACTTGAGAACATTAGCATACAGTAAAGTATATATATTTTGCAAAAATATATGACTAAAGGCCATGAGCTATCCTAGGTGTGTTTGGCACCAAAGAAAACCTTAATAAGTTTAGTGTTATTATACAACAATAATGTAAACACTTTTATCTAATAAATCATCTTGATACACAGGAAAAATATTTTTTTTTTTTATATTACTACACAATAATTAATCATTTAATCTGTATCTCTAAACCCCTTAATTTTTTACGATCCTATAAATTGTTTTTATGACACTATTGATATTTTTATGACTCTATCGTATATGATCCTATTTCATGATAAATTCTAAAAATAATCTTTAATTGTGAATTAAATGATATGCTAGGTGATAGGCCTGAAGTGGTATCTGAATACACCGTTGTAAGCTAGCCTGTAGACTCAGCGATGGCTCAGGAATTTGCCGAAATTTGTCTGAAGCATGGGACTGACTAAAGCCTTAGTCAGGATTCGGGAATAAAAATCCCTGGTAGTGCTCGCAGGAAGAGTTTTTATGGCTTAGTATGGCACAAATTGTGCTTTTACACCACAATATTAGGGCTTAGTAATCAAATAATGTTTGGATAGGCAAATTATAAGTTCTGGTCCAACCACCTCGTTGGACGACGGGGGTCCAGGCCTATCTAAAGGAGGGATGCCGCCATTGCTGTGTAGACGTACGCAGCATTTATAGATTGATGTCAAATTCAGCCTCTTCTATTTCAAGATACTCTATATCCACATGTTGTGTAAGTGCATATCATAGGGATTACAGCACACGATTGCTTACTACGCAAGTAATCTTTTTTTGCTGTGCTAAATCCAGATATTGGTTAAAGATATATTTACCTGTCTAATAATTACACTTGGAATTTTTTTTTTTTGCTTGACATTTTATGCAGAGATATCAAGAAAACTCAACTGTAACCCTACACAACATTAACAGATGAGATGTATTCAAATATTGAAAGCATTTCTATATTTGAATACATCTCGAAAAATATGCATCATTGAAAATGGTTAAAATGAAGATTTAACATAGAAATATCTGTAACATGTTAAAAAAACTGTGGAAATATTTAACCCGAAACCAAAGATTAACAATTTAAAAGAAAAAAAATTAATAAATCTAAAAGATGATTATACAACTCTAAACCAAAGATACTAGAAACACAAGATAGAACTCTCATATAGCAAAAGTTTAGCGGATATATGTCATAGCTTTTATGTATATCCTGACGTATACAACACGCTTCTCTTTCCGCTAATAATGGAAAATCAGAGTATGGTCCTACGATTCTTCACTTTTGCCTTTATGGATAATAGCAATGATTTCTACCTCCGCTAAAGGGGGTTATGTGTTCACCCTTGTATGTCTAGCCATAGCGTGTTGCTGTGTATAGTATGCAACGCCTCATTTTTTGTATTCCCACCATGCATTTTGGTGCTACAGTTTTTTTTAAGTGGAAAGTTCTATTTTGTGTCCATGTACCAGCTAAAACTATCTTAAGGTTAAGAAAGATCCAACAATGCTTAGTACGTATTGATATGTTTGGGGGAAGCCTAGGCCCTAGTAATATGTTGGGAAGTAGTACAGAGTACTTGCAGATTGCAAGTTTTAGGTTTTTCCCCCCTGGGTCCACAAAATGCATGAATGGTCCTAAAAATTCATAGTGGTCTGGAAAACCAATACCAATACTAGATATATGTTAAACATCTTGCCTACAAGACTAATATAAACCCACAAATGTTTTTTAGAGAATATATTTCTAGTGAATATTATTATTGTGTATCTCCCCAGGGGCACGATTCTGCCAGGACGTGAGCTATATTGTTATCACCAAGAAGAAGGAAAACACTTACTTATTGTAAATACAATCAGAAACTTTGCAAGAAATCAGCTTGATATGTTAAGATTGCTGTGTATGGGATTCCAGATTACATGCACTAATAGAAGCTGCAAATAGATTTGATATATTATAAGCTGTCCCAAGAGAATAGCACATGGTATAGACAGATTTGAATATCATAAGCAGGCTCAAGGGAAATGCACAACTGTATAGATAGAGACTCAAGGGAAACAAAAACTGTTACACATTTTGAATGTTCTGGAGTCCAGTGGTAAGAGAGGATGGTTCACACATTTGCAAAAATGTATTGAGTTTACCAGGGATGTCACATTTGATATGTTCTCTATGGAAAACAACACATACTTTTATGAATCATGCATGAAACCTGAACAAGCTCTTTGGAACATGAACCTATATAAACGAAGTATAAAAATGTTATTTACTACTATTACTACTACTACTACTACTGTTGATTTGAACTTTATTGTCACCTAAACTTAATCCATAATGAATAACCTGGGTTTAGTAACACCACAACGCCACTTAAGCATTGTATAGTACTGATGGCTATTATATAATATATTCTGTGTATTATTATTGTTGTCATTCATATTTTTGTTTTTGTTTTAATTACTGTTATTATTACCTCCTAAATAAGGTAATAATATATTAGTATCATTATTTTAAATTTGTATTTTATTTACCATTCTAATGTATTAATAATGTTGCTGTTACGGTGTTGTTGTTATTATTATTATTATTATTATTATTATTATTATTATTATTATTATTATTATTATTAGTATGCTACTTAAACCTACCATAAAGGGAACTTAGACAATGGAGAAATTAGAGAACAATTAAAAAAGCGATGCTAAGGTGAAAATAACACATAAGAAATTCCCCTTAAGTCTGATGTAGTGCTAGGCACTATTATTATTATTATTAAATTATTATTATTATTATTATTATTATTATTATTTGTAATTTCAGATAAATAAACAATTTGAATACATTGAAGAATTGAATAAGAAAAGCAATGGAAAGCCCACACTGTAGCAATGTCTTGATCATAATGCAGTGAATGTGTGTGTCAAACAAACTGAACCATAAACTACCAATTACAAAGCCACATTCACGTAAATACGACACCTAACACCACCACCACAAAGTATAATTATGCACATCGTTGATTGCATGAAAAAGCTTTTAATCAGTTTCCAAGTTTAATGTCCTCCTCTTCTATTCATAATTACATACTAATCCCGCGAGTCTCATAACCTCTCATTGTGTTGTGATTGGCTGTTGATTCTGTTAAGTCCTGAATCCAAGCAGATTTCACTTGCACCAGCTCCTATTAAAACTTTGATCAATATCGACTGAATGATTGTTACTTGTTTGACCTTTCCTCTGAAATAGATTTATTGAAAAACCATTTTGAAATATGTAATGGTTTAGCTGGTGGCAGACTTTATGGCTATCAGCTTCCCAAAAAAAAAAAAAAAAAATGTTATTACAAAAAATCGATTACATAGAAGCTGCTTCCATTTCAATTAGGCTTAATGTTTTTATGCCATTCACGTCAACTTGGCTACACAGATGTAGTTTCTCAAGCATCGCATACTCCAAGCTTGTTTTTCGTGTCAATATGAACTTGGAGCAATTTGCATGGGTAGTCATTTTCCCACCTGATGATGCGAGAATACCTTTCAATTTGTGCTGTAAGGAAATGTCCATTTGAGGTTATGTAAGCCCCAAAAACTTTTTCTTGCGTTGTGTTCGTTGATTTATTCAAACAAAAGTCCATGTTATAAAAAATTCATCAAAAAAGGAAGCCAGTGGTCAAACAATGGCACACCAATCAAACAAAATGATATGCCTTTAAAAATTAGCCAAGAGGAGTTCTGTCCATCTACTTCCCAGGTTAGAGTCAGAGAAAGAAAATCTCATTTAACTAAAAGAAGTTTCAGCTTAACTTTTTTGACTTAAGGCATTTGCTAAGCTGAGATTGATAAATCCCGGGCCAGAATTCTGGCTCCTAAATTTTGCCAGCAGGAGCCTGAACCAAGGGGCTGGTCCTGGAATAAAAAAATCCCTGTTAGGGTTCACAGGCAGTTTTTATTGTATTGTATAGTGCTTTTTATAGTGTATAGTATAGTGTATAGTATACAGTATAGTATATAGTATAGTGTATTGTATAGTGCAGATTGTGCTTTTAGACCACAATATTAGAGATTGGCAATCAAAATAATGTTAATGTGATAGGCAAATCATTATATTTTTTTTTATTTTGGATCCGACAACTCATTCTGGCATTGGACTACTGTATTGGGAAAAATTTCCCCTTCCTCTCCCTGCTGGTTAGTGGCGTAACTACAGCAGGTTCATTAAACCTGGGCCCCCAACCTCCAGGGGCCCCCGATCTTATAAAAGAAATCTAAAGCAATGCTTATTGTGACTTGCTTCCTTCCAGCCAAGTAATTTGGAACCACAAATAAATCGTTTCCATTACATCCATAGTTTTTAATTTTTTGTAATGTTTTGTAAAGTAATGTATGATTTAATGTGTCCAAAACACTTTACAATATCGATATATATGAATATTGTTTGAATTTTTGTTTTTTCGTATGTTTATTTATTTCATCCCACAAACGTTTGGGATTGTGTTTATACTTGTTTAAACAAAAAATTCTGATTTCGAATAGGCCTAAGTGTTTCACATGATCATGGTCATACACAAGTCTAGTGATGTCAAGTCTGATCCATTTTATTTAGCTTAAGTATGTAAAGTTCATATACAAGATAAATGGTCAATGGTTAATCCGATAAATTAAATAAAAACACATTCAATGAATACAGGACGTGCTTCTTCCAGTCATAAGAATTAAAGAAATGCTTAGTCAGTCCAGAATAGCTGGCTCTTCAAAGATGCCGTCTGAGAACATCTAAAAATTAAAATTTTAAACATTGAACATTTTATTCAATCAAAATCGGAGGGACACCTGCTCCTAAACCAACCCATCGGTTGTATATATTTTAGTTGACATGGTCAGTCAGTTTGCATGCGTCAAGGGCCTTGACTGTACTCTTGAACCATGGCCCCTCAAAACCTAGTTACGCCACTGCCGCTGGAACCACCACTAGTCAACACACATGGTGTTATAACTTTTTATATTATTGTCCTAATTGATGTACGTTTAAGAGCAATAGGCCTATATGAGCATTCAGCAATACTAACAGTAGCACCGGTAACCAGTAAAATGGAGTACTATTCAAGAACAATTTCAGTGCTATTATTAATTATATTTATTTCCAATAATGCCGTAGAACCTCGAATAGAAGCACAATGTGCTTAATCTCGAGAAGAAACCCATCTTGAATTTATGCCTCGCTCTTTAGTTTGCAAAACTAGCCTCGAGAAGAAGCCGATGGGCAGTAAATATAGGCCTAATGTACATTTCAAAAAACATTTCAAAGAAAAAAGTAAGTAAACAACACGTTGGTTTATACAGTAGTTTAGGTGATTTAGTGCCTGTTAATACACTGCCATGTTACAGTCTGCCCAACAGTAGCCGTATTTATTGTTTCATAGTAGTAATTCCCAAATTTTACAGCATTCATTTTGAAAATAAGTGCCACTGTTTTTTAATACCATATTTATATATTTAATACCATATTTCAAGAGGGTGACCCATCCAGCAATGCTGATCGTTAGGGGGCCCTCATACAATACAAGAATAAAAACAAGAGTCACTTAATTACACAAATTTATAAAGTTTAGTTTGCAAAAGTAGCCTCGAAAAGAAGCCCTGAGATAATGCGGTTTTTTGTATGATGATGCCAGGCCAGTGTATTTTCAATGTTCAAAACTACCGGGGCCCATTGAATGAAGCTGGTATTATAGTTTCACACGTACAGAGCTATCATGCCTTACTCGTTCGAAGCATGCATTATCGTGGTTAACACATAACGTTCTATTAAAGAATAAAGTTTTCATGCAAAACCATTACATTACAATACAGATTCAGTTAACTGATTATTTTGGTCATCGTGCGCTTGACGCTTTACGAACTTGACTGTAGACTATCACCCTTGGAGCGTCTCTGTACGATCCGCACTGTACTTCATCATCTGTTATGATATTATACAAATGACAAGATAACAATCAATTATACTGCATAATTCCATACCTCATGTCTGATCTATATCCAACTTTGAGAATAATAGTGAACGCCATTTACATAAAGTAGACTTACTATCAACATCTTGATATAGGCCTATATACATAATACCGTATCATACCGTATATATATATATATATATATATATATATAAACAAATAGATAAATAATAATAATAATGCCTGAAGGAACATGTAATAATCGTATCCAGCATGTAGCTCACTGGAGCTCATCAACGAACAGTTCTTTATTTCAGTGATAAACACAAACAGATAACGGTAATATTACTATCGTCACGAGGGTTTTTTTTCTTATGTGTTTAAAGTTCACTAAATTACTGATTTTTATGTCCACTTTGTTTACTTCGAAGTAGAGGGACACGTGCGTATAGATGCATTTGCAGTCGAATAACTACAATTTGTTCGTGATATTTTAAACATTTTCGACGTAAATAAGTGGTTTGAAGTGCGCTTTAACATGATCAGATTTTGTGTATTTGCAAAATACACAGAATTCAAGGGACTTACAAAATTCACATGCGACTTTGTAAGAACTTAACGAATATATAAAAACTAGCAATTAATTGCAGTTTGCCGCACTAATGCAATGGACATAAGTAAAGCACGAATACAATCTTTATAGATCAGTCAGTGTATATGTCCCTAAAACCATAGCAATAGTCATGTTCGCCAATACGTTCGTTTGATACGATGAATGTGTAAGTTATGCGTGTTAGTTCAGCTAAAACTAGAAAGAACGTATACTTTGCAAATACAGTCTTTGGGGAAAGACCATTCCTATGTTACTACTGTTTGTGAGAGCCTAATTAAATATTCTTTCTCTTTTTGTTAAATATGAAACATGTTTCAATTATCTTTAAACAAAAACAAAATAATGCCAATAAATATAAGCTCCCATCAAAAGCAATAAAATACCCAAAGATCATAGGAAGCTGAGAGCTCAAAGAATTAGTACTACAAAATTACAGACCAAGGCCCTATTTTATAATAATTAATATAATTGTAATTATTATATTCCATTATATACATAGAATAATATGTTAAAGTTTCTTCTGGTTTTCCGTTATATTATAGTTTAATGCTTATATTCTTTTCATTTCCATAACGAAGTATAAGCATTACGTAGTGTAAAGTTTTAATCAGTTGTCAGCGTGTCGAAGCTCTATGATCCTGTTAAGACAATGAACATTGGAATTAATTGTAGCTAATGACGTCACTAATATAACAATTGGTAAAATACGATGCATTTTACACAGGTAGCTTGCGTCAAAACACTGTCACTGTCCTCCATGGGTCAACATTCAAGATTTAATATAGTGCTGCAACGCTCATATACAAATAAGAGAAAATTGTATGCCTCCAATCGGATTATATCCCAGGTAGAGTGACTATTTTTCACTTTCACTAAATTTAAAAAAAAAAGGTCAAAGATTTTATTTGCAAAAAGAAAAAAGTCAGTTGGAGTGACGTATGGGGTGGCGCTCTTTTATTAGCAAGTGTGCTAGTTGCAAATATCGACCAGAGATGGAAATACACAACACTTCTGAGTTTTCTGAGTATAGTACGGTACGGTACGTCCTCTACCAAAATAAATTCAATTTGAATATTTACGGGGTAGCCTTGTCGTCCCAGTGAGGAGTTTGCATGTGTAGTTGTATTCTCCGACTGAGTACAATTTATGCTGTGTTCATCTTGACGTATTCACATTGGCAACAGGTAAGTGGCAGCAAATTGATATTATATGAAAATAATAGGCCTTAATGATAATAATTATAGTGATAATGATAATGATGACAACTGTATAATAATAACAATAATAATAATAATAATAATAATAATAATAACAATAATAATAATAATATTAACAATAATAATAATAATAGAAGTAGTAGTAGTAGTAGTAGTAGTAGTAGTAGTAGTAGTAGTAGTAGTAGTAGTAGTAGTAGTAGTAGTAGTAGTAGTAGTAGTAGTAGTAGTATTAGTAGTAGTAGTAGTAGTAGTAGTAGTAGTAGTAGTAGTAGTAGTAATCATAACAATAATATTAAAATTGTTAGTTGTAAAATTGCATGCTTTTTGAGGGGGCGATGCGTTAACTGGGGACTCATGAAAATATCTTAAAGGAAACACGGTATTTTTTGACACATCGGTACAACTTCGCGTGTCAGATCTGTAAATGACCAGTACCCATACCCTTGGGCCCTAACCCTCTCTTTCATGAGCGTGAAGCCACGGCTCTCACTATACAGTTCCTCTACATTCCATATGAAACCGTCGATGATAATGTGGGGCCCTGTACCCTCAATAGTCCGCATTCAGCACTTTTAATGAAATTCCAAGGACTTCGAAAGTTATAAGTCCTCATATAATATTCACTACAGTCTACTCCACCCACAGCTGGTCTGGTGAGTCCCCAATTCAATTCACCAGTCCCTCACTAACTGCATCCCTATACACAAATTATATATCATTTCATCACTTCTTACTAATTGAATTTTTTTTTAAATCACTTAGTCTACAGCTAGTCCTATTCCTTTGAATACAAAATACTTCTTCGGCACCAGTCTCGTCTAATTTTTCGACAGGTGCTGTCTCTTACCTTAAGTTTATATGAACTCAATCTTATAAAACTCAATTTTCCCAACAATCGTAATCCAGTAAATCGCTGATTTCCACCCTGACATCAATCTTTTTAACAATAAGTTCGCAAGTAACGTTAAACCCTCCAATTCAAGACCGAACCCCGAGACCACCAGCCCCACAGGTGGTACCGAATTTGAGGGAAAACTGTACTACTGTACTCCATTTTGCATCAAAACATACCTGTTAAACACCTCTCAAAATTTATCCTAACTTCTGTGCCACCCCACATTAATGGTAATTATGCAGCAAACTCTGCTACCACCAGACGTCCCTTAATCTTCCACACCGCTTCCTCAATACACCTACCTGTTAACTAACGTTCGTATTAATAATTTCCCGAGAAATTTTCATTGATTAGGTTAATTATCTTTTACGTGCAACTAACTCACCGCGCTGATAAAAAAAAAGAAACGTATTGATTAATCATATAGGCCTATTATATCATAAATCAAGAACATTCATTAATTTTGTGTTATTGAACGATGTGTTGAGCGTTCTTGTTGACTTCTTATCTTTCAGTATGTTATTGGCCATGTTTATAAGATGATGATGATGATGTTATAACCGTACCAGCTAAATAAGAAAATTGTATCTTAATTGAGTTTCAAATAATCATATATAAAGTTTTATTTATTTATCCAAAAACCTGTTTATTCGATTTAGTAAATGACCATTTCTCCCAATTTTTAGTTTGCTATCTTGTTTTCCAATGCAGCACCAACATATATAGTATATTATATAGCATACTATGCTATATTATGCAGCATTATATTATTATTAGTTTAAATATATTATTATATATAAAGTATATAAGAAAATGATATAAGAACATACATATTGTAGTTGATTAGTCACAAAATGTATTTGAAAACTGGGAGTATTTTCGGTCATAGACCTTTATCAATTGTAATGTGCCTATGCACTAACTTTGATTTATGTATAAGATGGTCTTTATTTTACGACTTTGGATCATACTAATATGTTCTGTGTATGCTTTAACGAGTTTTCTAACTTTTTTTTGGTGTCTTTATGTATATTTAGGACAAATTTATACGGTCTCCACGTCATATTATGTGATTTGAAAAACTCCATCATTATGTGCAATATAAAATCCAATTACTCGGTAGTGAACTCCTGTGTTTAGATTTCAAGATAGAGCGTGGACGCACAGAAAAGATGAAACTATTTTCACAATGATCAACACACACATGCATTAAATCAAGACCTAGATGTCCGCTGTGGTTTAATGACATAATGGCTTAGGAAATGCGTTACCAGTAATAATTAGAAAAGAATCAAGGAGCTTTGAAATTTGAGCCGCTAATCAAATGTTGATATTGAAGAGTTCAGTAATGTTAGAGATTCATAACATGTAAGCAGACAACGGACAGACTGTGTATCTTAATTACTACTGTACATCCCATACATATTCCAACTACTCTTTTGAATTATCAAACTTTATCAAGAGATTTGGAGAAAAAAGTAATAATTGAATAATAGTACGTAAACGAACAATGTTTTTTTTTCTTTTAGAAAATTTGTCGTTTTTCGACGGAAACCTTATTATTTAGTGGACAGATTAAATGTAATATAATTTAATATTTTATCTTTAACAAAAGCATGTATCATTATCACTAAAGATTAGGCCTGTCATCGATCATCGAGGTACTATATATATAAGAGACAGGTACTATCTAGTGTGTTGTTTACCATCTTCTTTTAATCATCATTGCTTTTGTTTTGTATTGTTTATTTATTATATAATGTGTCTATATTTTGTATGTTTTTAAAGATTTCTGCACGCTGTTGTAAACTTACAATTAGGCCTATGGATACTGTGTAAGGTTAAATCAATACCTCCTTGGTTAAATCTAGTGGGTTGTCTCTCATTTTGTGGACATGGAATTGTTATTATTACGGTTCAAACCAGTCTCCGCAACTCGCAGAGACAGGTGGATGCAGTCGCGGTTAATATAACCACAGGTAGGCCTACTAAACTTGCGAAACGTAAACAAAGTTCATGAATAGTGACGCTTCAAGTGCATGTGTTACATAAATTTTACATTATGTTAACGTAAATTTATGAATGGTGACGCTAATTGCATATTGTGTTACAGTTTAAACTCGCGAAACGTAAACGTAAGTTTATGAATGGTGACGTTTTAAGTGCCTTGTTGTTGAACTTACGAAACATAGCTGCGCAAGTTCAATAGTGGCACAATGGGGGAGCCTCCGGGGAGACAGAGTATAGGGATTAAACCCTATCACCCTGTAGTCATGTGACTACGTCACGATGTTGATCATATCATGTGACTAGGGCGGCCAGCGTGATTAGCTGGAAGATATGCTAAAGAAAGACACACATAAAATGGTCACTTGTTGTAGGGTCGTTATTTGGTATGATGTGTCAATTGAATTGGAGTATCAGATGGTTTGTTGCAATCATCAATAAACAATATTAAACACCCTTATGCAGGGCAAGTTTCCCGTTCGGACACACTGTACTGTTGTAAGCTTACAATAGGCCTATGTATGCAGTTCAGCAGGGAGGCAGAGTAGGATAGGGGTCCCCAGTGCCGGACTCAACTCGTCTAATACAAAACGTAAACATATTTGGGTATAAACGTAGAAGGTCTCAGAGCAGCTTGAAGTAGCCCAACATTTCCCAGTTTTTCTAGATGCTAGGGTTAGCTTCATCCCCTACCATAACTTTTCCCATAATACATTCTGCTAATCTCGGAAAGTTTCAGACCCATTTGGACAGCTTAGCACCACTCCCTCTATCGCAGAGCAACTCAGGGTGACGATGCAAGGTTCCAGCGAGTTTTGTCGGACTCTAGATTGTTGAATGACCTAAAATTAATTTTCCGATCCATGGGCCAACAGAACAATTCCATTGTAAACCAGTAACTTTTGGTCAAAAACCCTGGCGGTACCTCTATGGCTCGGGCTTCATTCATCCCTCTTGACTGTTTATTCATGGAGGAATTAGTTTAATTCCTCCATCGTTTTATTAGACCGCTGTCGACAAATTTCCACTACTATTTACAATAATTAAATTACAGAAACTTAAATGCGAGCTCCTAAAGCTTCCAGCGCATGCTTTACAACTAAAGTCACAAAAACTTAATAAAAGTTTATGAATAGCGATGCTACAATTGCATGTTGTGTTACAATTAATAAATGTAAGGAATAAATGAGATTGTTTACAATTGTCGTGGTACTTCACTTAATTCTAACTTAAGCTCGTTTTGCTGTCGTACAGTTACATCAGTTAACAATTGGTCGGTTCGTGCCATGGAATATTCATCAGATAGTGTACCGTATTATGTAGTACAATACGTCATAGGCATAAAATAAATGAATGAAAGAATGAATGAATAAGTTATGAATATGCTTTATTATTATTATTATTATTATCATCATCATCATCATCATCATCATCATCATCATCATCATCATTATTATTATTATTAATCTGGCACGGCCCTAAGTAAATCTTGATTGAAACGAATTGTAAATATTATTACCATTATTATTATTATTATTATTATTATTATTATTATTATTATTATTATTATTATTATTAAACTTATTGTTATTATCATTATCATTATTATTATTATTATTATTATCATTATTATTATTAGCCTATTATCATTATTATTAGGCGTATTTATGTTTTTATTTAATATTAAAACAAAACTATTGACTATGGTAACTAAATTAATTTCTTCCGTGATATTATAATTGTTGTTATAATTGTTTTTATTATCATTTCTGAGCTTTGCATTGTTAATGTTGGAAATGTATGAATTTTTTCATTGCATCGATTCGTTTGCTTTATCACTTATTTGAGTTTTAAGTTCTAAGCCCATATCCCGTGCTTATCACTCCATGTAATTTACACATAATTTTGTCCTTTGCTTCATTTCAACTTAGAAAACCATGGAGGGAAACGCCACCAAGAGCGTTCAATCAGACAATGTCGGCGAATACGAACTTTCATACGGCAACGATTATTACTATATAGCAAACAAGCTAGATGTTGATAAAATCGCAATACCTTTCACTTGGACATTGTTCATTATAGTCGGTCTTGTTTGCAACAGTATCGTCATCTATGTGGTGTGTAGATTTGGCACAATGCGAACAGTCACAAATTGTTACATCGTCAATATTTCTGTGTCTGACATCGTGTTTTTGCTCCTCTGCGCCCCGTTCACTACCTTCAACTACACCAGACCCTTGTGGATTTTTGGAAACGCGATGTGTAGTGTCGTCATGTACCTGATGCAGGTACGATGTGATAACAATATGACGATAATAACGATTATCTTTATTATCATTATTATTATTATTATTATTATTATTATTATTATTATTATTATTATTATTATTATTATTATTATTATTATTAATTATCATTATTATTATTATTATTATTATTGTCATCATAATCATCATCATCATCGTCATTATCTTCACCATCACTGACCGTTATCTAATTACTGTCATTAGCATCATCGATCATCATCGTCATCATCGACATTGCTATAGATATTTTCTTTGTTCCACTTTCTTTACTGTATTTTGGTCATTTCTTGTAAATGATATTTACCTATTGTATATCTGTCCATGCGATAAGCACATATTTTTAATATTGTTTGAAGGTTTGCATGGCGAAGTAATAATATATAAGTTATTAATGCATGCAGGACACCAGGTAGATAGTTCTGAAATAAACTGTTGTTGTTGGTTGAGATTCTCAACCAACAACAACAGTTCTTTTCAGAACTATCTACGTGGTGTAGGCCTACCGCAAGCATTAATATATAACACATATTTTTCTCAATTGTAATTTAACTCTATCATTAAACGAATAAAGTTTCTAAGATGACCATAGAAACCCCATTCTGATCCTTTAAAAGGAGTCGTTTTGAAACAAGAGGTTCCTCTACAGCAATTCTAAATTACAAAAGCAAGCAGGGTTTTCAAGAGCCCACATTCATCCAACTGTATGTTGTTGCAAGTGTAAAGAACCTGAGCTGTCGAAACTGATTGGATATGTCAAGTGATGCAGGGCGTAGGCTGTTTTTTTTTTAGACCACAATAATATTCATGACTGCAGCTAAAGCGTGCTTTACATAAAATCGTTACACTTTCGCTACAGTATTTTAAATGCAACCGGTACTGCAATCATTACACGCCCGTAGCTATCCCTGACGTAATCGAGAAGGCAATCCGAATTGACCCACCAATCAACTGTCGGCGATAGTGTGTAGCAAAGATCTTGTAAACACAAGATAGCGTTCTCCGCGATTTACTCGTAACAAATAGAAGCGTCGGTCAAGGTTCAAAAGTTTCCAATTTAGCAAGAGGGCGCCATTCATGCGCTATTATACCAAAGAGAAAAAGTAATCAGTTTTGGAAGAGGGCGTCCTATCTGTTGCCATGGATCTGAGATGGTTCCTGTTCTGCTGTTCACAGGATTGATACACCCAAGGTAAAGTGGCGCGGTGCGGTATGGTCAGAGCGGGCAAGGGTCAAAAGTTTCCAATTTAGCAAGAGGGCGCCATTCATGCCTTATTACAGAATTTGCACGCGTAAATCGCGGAGAACGCTATCTTGTGTTTATAAAATCTTTGGTGTGTAGCGATTTTATGTCTGGCTTTTCCTGTTAATACAAAAGAAACTATTTCCTTTTCTTAAGTTATAGCCTACCCAGGGAGTTGTTATTTAGAACTCGCTGGTTAGATGAGATCTCAAGTGATTTCAAATTTTAACTCATTTTCAAACTTTTACTTTGAAGGTTTCGGTGCACGCTACCTCGTTGACTTTGATGGCTATGAATATCGATCGGTATTTTGCAATCGTCTATCCACTGAAATCGATCCGATATCGGACAGCTACTCTCGCATTAGCGATAAACATCTCAATTTGGATAGGTAAAGGGTTTTTCACCTTTATTTCATTAGCGAGGTTTTTCTTTCTTACGAAAATTTTGACATGGATTGAATAATTTATTGAGACGTTAAACCACATACTGTCACAGGGTATCTGCGTTTATCGTTTTGATCCAAATCTAATCTCATTTTATTGATTTTACACTTTGGAAACCTGAGGTGTTTAATACTAAATTAATTTTATGTTCTTATTTAGTTTCAGGTTTAATGTCGATTCCCATCGCCATATTCTCAACAGTCACGGATTTTATGGGACGACCTTACTGCATTGAGCAATTTAAAGATGGCGGTTTTATGTATTATATATATGTTGTATTTACCACCTACATAATCCCTCTCTCTGTACTCATTGTTTGCAACCTCAACATGCTACGGCAACTTTGGAAATCGCGGGATCAGTTGCGTGACACAACGTTAAGCGAACACTCAATTAAACAACGCAGAAAGGTTACGAAAATGATACTGCTCGTTGTAGCATTCTTTTTTGTCTGTTGGCTTCCGATACATGTATTGAATTTTTGGCAGAGGTTGGGCAACAGTATCAACAATAACTTAGCGCTGGCAAAATTGAGAATATTTGCTCTGACTCTTGCTTATAGTAATTCGTGTGTGAATCCATTTGTATACGCGTTCATGGGGGAGAACTTTCGAACCTGTTTCAGAAGAGCATTCCCGATGTGCAGTAAGTCTAATCGCGTTGCACACGGTAGCAGTATGAATACTTCCCGTACAAGAGAAACAAACCTACAAAAGGCTGCGGTACGCATCAGACCTGATGGCTTGTGTTGAACTTTAAAGTAAAACAGGAATATAGGTCTATGTGAATAACTTATACTTTTTACAATTTCCATGATGAGTAGCCATTTATATTTATATTTTAGTATCAGATAGGGCCTATATATATATACATTTCAAAATACAATTTTCATATGTAACAATCTGATTCATATTTATTCATGTAACTTATATCTTGGTATCTTTTATTCAACAAAACAATGTCATTGCAGTTAACAATAAAATTATGTAACTGAATTGGGACAATTTACAGAAAGATCTAATCTACGAATTAAAAAATTACACTTATTATAAAAAATTAACATGGTAATATAATTAAAATGTAATTAAAAACTACCGCTACTACAATATAATATAAAAAAACATTCAAAAATATTACTAAAAATACGTTGAAATTTACAATTCTTCACAGTATAAGATTTAATTTACCAATTAAAAATATACATTTTACACTAAATTTTATTATATAGACTAACATAAACATCATGTATACAACAATTGATGTAGTGCTAGTCAACATAACAGTACCATATACACATCTTTATCTAGTTGGTAATGCATATAGCATCATAATATAATGACTACGTTAATAATTGATCATTATTTTAGAAGTCTGGATTTTCGGTGTTCTTAGTTTACTACTGTTTAGTCGCTGATGGCGCTGTACCAAGGTAGGCCTATTGAAAGGAAACTGACGCAACAGCTTTTTATAAGATTGTAAGTAGATATCAAGCATGTTTTGTAGACGAACTATTTTGCAAAACTGAGTTTTGAATCAGCTTCAGGTAGAACACCGTATAAGAATATTAATAATAGGCCTATACATAATTTTGTATCCATTGCCGCTATTTCTGAGGCTTACATCCATGATATGATTAACATACAGTAATTATGTTACTGTTTGCATATAATTATTATGAAAGGTACAAACAAGAATCAGATATTGTTTTTTAATGTAAATATTTGTAAAGAATTATATCAATATTTTATAATATTAAGCTAAAATAAAATGAATGATCTTGCTCATCAAAATTATTATCGTAAATTTGTATGCCTTTTGTCTATTCATGTAATTGAATTGTCATAAATGTTTATTTCTATTTGTATAAGATGGGAATTGAATTTTCACTTTAGCAGCCCCAATATAAGAAAAGTGTATTAAATTGTTGGTTTTTTTTTTGTTTTTTTTTATGTGTAGGCCTATCTTGATGGTCAATTTAATTTAAATGTTACATATAATTGAAATAAAATAAATGTATGTGTGTGTCAATCTTGTTATCCGTTTTCAATAATTCCTTTCTGGTACTTCTACGATGAGAAAGTGTACCAATTCCAACTTAAAGTAGACCTAATATTACATATACTTCAGATTTCCCCGACGAAACCAAAGTGGGTGTGGTCGAGCTTCATTTAAAAGGTTTCGAAAGTGGTCCTGGCGGCGAAGCCCCCGAAAATTTTGACAATTTAGGTGTTTCAAAAGCTTATTTAATCGATTTTAGAGTCTACTAATATGTAGAAAATACATTTTTTTTTTCTCCCCGACGAATTGTGCTTTTTCTCCCCGACTGGGAGGCGGGGGGGCAGCTCT